AGTAGTAGTAGATAGTAGTAGTAGTAGTCGTAGTCGTAGTCGTAGTCGTAGTAGTAGTAGTAGTAGTAGTAGTCGTAGTAGTAGTAGTAGTAGTAGTAGTAGTAGTAGTAGTAGTAGTAAGGACTTCTTGGGACCTACGGGCGGGGGTGTGTATCATTTGAAACGACTGGTCCTTCTTCTCATAGGGTAAGGCACCTCTTCTCATACCCCGGTAACAGACGTTGGTACCGGTAGCGGTGTTACAGAGATTGGTGACACGGGTCGGTGTTGCAGAGCTTGGTAACGGTAACACAATTAGAATATCGATCTCCACTGTACTCAACAAAAAGGGGATTACCACCATAGCCTGATACTCTGCGGCCTGCGGCGTCTGCTGCAGCACGTCCCACACCGGTCCTTTAGCATAGGCCACAACGTTGCCTGGGCTGTCCAGGAAACCCAGGCGTACGCAGCTCGGGACAAGTCTCTTATGACGTGTCAGGAGGGAGGTTGGTCCCAGGATGATCCCACTTGAGCTCGTCCCAGAACGCGCGGTCATCATTGTCGGAAGGCCTCCCTCAACCACTCGGGGTGATCTGCTGCAGCTTGCTCCCGCGCCTGTGCAGCGTCAGCATGCTGGCATCCCCAAATGCGATGCTTCACGTTGTCGGCCTCGCCGCACAGCGGGCACTTGCCGTCGCTGTTGTAGTTTGCAGCCCTGGCCCTGGTGCGTGCCCACACACCTCCACAAAAACAGGTGATGGCCATATATTTTTCACGCGGGGTGGGTTTCTTGGACCCAAGGCCCAGAAGTTGAACCAGGGGTTCCGTGCACACCCGAGAACTTTCAAAGCCAGGATGGAGCTCAACAAAAACCCTTTCATGATGCCGCTGAGTCCCACGTTCCAGGAGCTGGCCGACGAGGGAAGGCGAGTTAAAGCCGAGGTGAAATACTCGATCGAAATCGTCGAGCCACGTTAAGGCCGAAGTGGAGCGCCATCCTATAGGATTCAACGACAGGTGCATTCTCTGGATGGGCCCACGAGAGCTCTTCCAAGACAGCCCAGGGCCGTGGGGGACGGCGCTCCACGTCTGGCACAACTAGGAGGTGGTGGATGAAGCGGTGGAGGCGGTGGAGGAGGAGGAGGAGGACGACGAGAAGGACGAGGAGGAGGAGGAGGAGGAGGAGGAGGAGGTGGAAGAGGAGGAGGAGGAGGAGGCCACGGCGCCCGCCTGCCGCCCGCCGCCGCCGCGGGGCCGCCGCGCGCCGCCTCCGCGGCCGCCTCGCTCGCCGCGAGGGCCGCGGCGCGCTCGTCGCGGGCCTCGCGTATCGCGCGCGCCACCGCGCGCCCCGCGGGGCCCGCGTCGGCCACGTCTTGGACGGCGCCGGCCGTGTGCCAGGCCAGCTCGATGCACCCTGACCGGGGAGACGACGTCTCGGGTTCGGGGGACTCGAGCTGGCCTGACAGGGCAAAATGACGAGACCAGACCCAATCTGAAATTTGACGCGAGCTCCCACGTCCAACAGCCCACGGAAACTGGACCGTCAAATGCAGGACGGGCTCGTTCAAAAAGCGTCGACAAGTCGGAGTTCCGGCGAACTCGAGTCTGACGCCTCCCAGACCTGCGACCTGGGCGCTGCAACTCTTGTACGCCGGTCATTTCGCCTCTGGTCTCGGGCCCAATGGACCGACACAGATGGATCGGGCTCGAGAATTGCCGCAGAACGACGGCGGATTCCGGAAACCCTGCCACCAAAAAGCTGCCATCTCTTGGGGGCACGTCTTTTACTTCCGTTGGCTTCCGCCGGCGGAGCCACCCTCGTTTTGCTTCCGCCAGCTTTCGCCGACCTTCCGCCGCCTTCTGCCGAGGAAGAGATGCCAATTCCTTCGGTCATCGAGAACAAGGACCTTTCCGGAGCGCGCCACACGGGGTGGGCTCCAGTCGAGCCCCATGCTGCATTCAATTACGCACCGTCGGATCTCTGGGAAAACCAAAAGGTAATTACCGATGCTGCTATTTGCCAGACCTCTCCCATGGTGCGTTCTGACCAGAGTTGCGAAGCGA